GTAAGGTTTAGCCCGGTTTGTGTTGCCTTGGTCCTATGCCTTTGGAAAATATCCACACGGTTATGAGATTATATGCCCTCGTGAGACGTTGTCGACAGCTACACCATGAATCCTCTACATGAGGCTGTCATCATAAGGCAGTGTGAGGCGCAGAGGAGTGATTATATAGCCAAGGCATATGGGTAACAATACCGGTGCTATTGTCCCCCTTATTTGTACTTTTCCTATTTGTTGTATTTTTCTGTTCTTTTATTAATAAAAAACTTAGCCCTAGGCGCTTGCCTAGCGGATTGCCAAAAAAACAAAAAAACATTTAATATTTATATACATATATACATAAAAGAAAAGTTTGTAATTTTTCGGCGGAAGGGATGCGAATGAACTCCCTTCCGCCCTCCGTCCCTGTTTGTGAGTCAGGAAGTTCAGAATGAGAAACCCAAAGATAAGAAAATAAGAAGTAAAGAGTACTAATATTTTGAACTACTATAATCTTAAAAGTTTGAATCTAAATTATCAAAAACATGTTACTAATCTCTTCTCTTGCATTATCTCATTCCTAATAACCTTTCAGCTTTTCTGCAAGTCTTCTAGTCTATATGAAGTCCGTGAATATGAGCAACTTTCCAGTAATCCCCACTTTGACTGTCCTTAAGCTGCACAGTCATTAACAACTTCTCGGACATTTGTTCCAGCGAAAGATACTGAAGCATGCTCAAATGTTCAATCCCTAAGGGCAACTCCTCCATTAATCCGCAGTTGCGCAATTGAAGCTCATAAAGAGAAGGCATTGCGCCCTCTTCCACTTTAATCTGTCTCAGTTTTGTAGAGTGCAGAATACGTAAGTCTTTCAGTTTTTTGAATCCACTTGCCCTGAACCTCAATTCTTCGCCTTCATAGGCCTGGTCTAGCACTAGTTTTACAAGGTTGGGCAAATCTTGAAGACTGTCTAGTGCATTTTCCACTAACTTGCTCCATTTTAGATGAATTGTGGCTAAGGCTTGAAGAGATGTTACCCATTGTGGAAACCTCTCTAGACATCCTTCGAAGAGCAATATTCGGAGGGATGTGTGTGTAGAAGAAAGGGGATAGTGCAAATCAATAATGTCACTTACCCCATAAGATGAGATTGATAGTTGTTGTAGATTTATCAACTTGTCAAGGGAAGAACAAAGATCCCTTCCATGTTTTCTTCTCAGTTCCGCGATTTCTAATATTTGTAGTCTTGTTAACTTTCCCAGTTCAATCACTGTACTTGCAGTGGCATTTATAAGATTCACCATTTCTAAGGACACAAGAGTCCCTATGTTCTTAGGGGCTTTGAAACCATGCAAAAAATCAGCACCCCAGCGATAAATGAGGACATGGCGAAGATGTTGAAGCCTTAGAATCTCATCAGGCAATTTGTTTACCAATGTGTCCCTTGTTGCGGAAGCCAAATGTATATAGTGTGAATAAGTCACAACTACTATACCAAAAATT